GGAGAAATCGGAAAGTGTAAGATATGACAAAATAATAATTTATAAATTATTAAGGGTTCATGAAGGAAGGGTGAGTGGGGAGGGAGGGGGGGAAATGAGGAGCTGATGCCAAGGGCTTAAGTGTGTGCTAGTCTGGGTACTTTAGAGAAACACATCCACAGAAACTCATATATAAGGAGAGTTTTATATAAAGGTTAAGTGCACATCACGAAAACATCCCAACCCAGTGCTGCCCAAGCCCACAAGTCCATCATTATCCCTTTTACCCATATATCGGACACCAATTCACGAAATCCTCCTCCATCTCACAAAACAGATGCAATGATGCCGACTGCAGGAGGAAAGCTGAGTCAGTTAACATGTAAACATCTCAGCGCTGCCAGGGGTCTCCACACAGGTGCTCCAGCACCCAGGGCTGCATTGGGGTAGGTTCATGTGGCTTCTCCTCAGGGATGTCTTGCAGGAAGTCAGCCTTGCAAGCTGAAGCAGGGAACTGCTTAGGCAGCTGCACCCTGGTCTGATCATCACAAAGCAAGAGACTAGAGGACTAGAAAGGAGAGGCTGACCGAGCCATTTATCCCTCCGTCCTTCAGTGAGTGGAGAGCAAATGTTTTGAGAATAATGAGGGCAACAAATGCAAAAATGTTCTTTACACAATTAGTGTATATATGAATTGTGATTAGAGTTGTATGAGCCCACAATAAAATGACTAAAAATAATAATTTTTAAATAAATTAACCAATAGAGGTAAAATGAATTCACAAGTAGCTATATAATACTGATATTATAGAATAACCTAGGCTGAACATATTTAAACTCACCATAAGGCAAGAATTATTAAAATAATACTGACTATATTTTATAAGGTTTATTGTTTTATTTTTCACATTTAAGTCTATAATCCATAGAAAATAGCATTTGTGTATAATATGAGGTGGATTTCTTTGTTCATGTTATTCAAATAGATATCCAATTAGACCTGCACAATGAATAGAAAAATGAATTTTTTCATTTTATCATACATCAAATGACTGTTTTTATTTTTTTCTACTTTTATGTGTTCATGTTGAATTGATCATGTTTATCATAGAAAACTCTATAATTAAATTTTATAGTCATTTTATATCTGATAGTCTAAATGTCCTAATACTATTTTGCTCTGTTTTGCAGGTTTTCTTGGCTAGTATAAATCTGTGTTATACCTATGTAATTTTAAAAATTATTTTATTGGGAACTCAGATAACTCTTATTACAATCCATACATACATCCACTGTGTCAAGCACATTTGAAAATTTGTTGCCATCATCATTCTCAAAACATTTTCTTTGTACTTGAGCCCTTGGGATCAGCTCTTCATTTTTGCCCTCTCTCCCAGCACCACCTCCCTCACGAACCCTTGACAATTCATGAATTATTATTATTTTGTCATGTCTTACACTGGCCAATGTCTTCTTTCACTCACTTTTCTGTTGCCTTCCCCCAGGTAGGGGGCTATATGGAGATCCTTGTGATCAGTTACACCTTTCTATCCAACTCCCCCACCACCCTCACAGTATCGCTACTCTCACCACTGGTCCTGAGAGGTTCATCTGTTCTGGATTCCCTGTGTTTCCAATTCTTATCTGTATCAGTGTACATCTTCTGGTCCTGCCGGATTTGTAAGGTAGAATTGGGATCATGATAGTGGAAAGGAGGAAGCATTAAAGAACTAAAGGATAGTTTTATGTTTAAGCATTGCTACACTGCACCCTGACTGGTTCATCTCCTCCCCGGGACCCTTCTGCAAGGGGATGTCCAGTTGCCTACAGGTAGGCTTTTGGTCCCCAATCCACATGTCCCCTCATTCACAATATGATTTTTTGTTCTTTGATGCCTGGTACCTGATCCCATCAACACCTCGTGTTCGTATAGGCTGGTGTGCTTCTTCCATGTGGGTTTTGTTGCTTCTGAGCTAGATGGCTGCTTGTTTATCTTCAAGCCTTTAAGACCCGAGATGCTATATCTTTTGATAGCCGGGCACCATCAGCTTTCTTCACCACATTTGCTTATGCACCCACTTTGTCTTTATCAGTGATCATGTCGGGAAAGTTAGCATCATGGAATGCCAGTTTAATAGAACAAAATATTCTTGCATTGACAGAGTGGAGGCCCAATGTCCATCTGCTATCTTAATATTAATACTAAAACTTATAAATATATGCACATAGGTCAATTTCCCCATCATATATAAATATATTTACATATGTATATGCATGTTTTTAAACCTCTATAAATGTCCATAGCCTCCTAGTTTTTTCCTCTCTTTCCTTTTAAAATCTTCTTGTCCCACTATCATGCTCAGCCTTCATTTGGTTTCAGTAATTCCCCTTGGTTGCATTGCCCTTGATCAAATCCTACTAGGCCTCCTACACCCGCCTCTCCACTGATTTTGGATCACTTGTTGTTCCCTTGTCCCTGAGTTTGTTAACACCTACTTCCTTTCCCCCATCCACCCCTCTTCCATGTCCCCCTGGAACCATCTGTCCATTGTTTTCTCCTACAGATTATTTATCCTGTCTGTTATCTAGGTAGACTTCAGAGATAATAATATGCACAAAAGCAAGACAGAGAAAAACAAAGCAACAAAACAAAACAACAACAAATCAATGACAAAAAAGAAAACCCTCTAATTGTTCAGGGTCTGTTTATTGACCTTCAGGAGTGTTTTTTGGTTGAGTCTGATGGGGTCCCAAAGTCTGTTTTTGATATTCCCTTGAGACTTTGTGTTCTGCTCCCTTTGCTGTTCTGTTGCATGTGCTTAGTGTTTTGACTTGTTGTGGTAGGGTCAGATCGGGTGCCATTCCCACGCTCTGTCTCCAGTGATATCCCCTGTAGGGCTATGGATCAATGAGGGTTGTTGTATAATTATATACCTTTTTTCCCTTGTTTGAAACTAGCCCTAGCTCCAAGAGCACTGAGGAGCAGCTTCAATGTTTCTTTTCCTCCTTATACGACCACCCAGACCAGTGTTTTGATCTGACGGGAAATGGAACTGGAGGGTTAACTATATACCTTTAAAATCTTTTTTCACTTTTCAAAATAAATGCTCAGATATTGATTGGAATTACATTTATGTGATAAAGCAAGTGTTTAAAATTGTCTTCTTTCAGAGATTCTGTCTTCTAATCCATAACAGAGAGTTATCCGATAGTTATTTTTATCTTTAAGAATCTTCTCAAAAATTATATATATTTTTAGTGTAGTGGCTTTGTACATGTTTACTAACTTTATCTTTACATGTTTGGTGTTATTGTTAAATTTCATTGACTACTTTTGTGGCCATATTGGGAAAGACAATTGATTTTTGTATATTAACTTTATATGCGTGCTCTTTGTAAACACATATTAAAATTTGAATTGATTTTTATGGATTCTTTGGTATTTCTACTACACTTTGTTACCTGTGAATAAAGGACTTTATTTTTCATTCTTTCCCATTTTTAACCTTTATTTCTTTTTGTTTGCTGGTTTTGTGATGGCACAAACTGCAAGGCAATCTTGATTAAATGGTGATGGTGGATTTTCTTATTTTGTTCTTACCTTATAGAGAAAATCACTCATTATTTCAAGGAAGTGAGTAAGGAGTTTCCCGATATCGGGGAATTTCAATGGGCTCATAAATGGACCCAAATAAGAAATAATTTTAAGTATCTGACAGCGACAGAAGAAATATCCCCAAACAAGTCTTTCTGTCAGTTAAGTATAACCAATGATACCCCTCTGCTCTTCAACTTTCACAATAAGGAATAAGACTACTGTGGAAGTGTGGAAGTGTGAGGCTGATTAAAACATACAATGTGGAAATGACACTACACTTTCTGATGGCTTCCAGCCTAGACTAGACCTGAGCTGGATGAGGAGAGAAAGTTAGCATTGCCTGAAGTTGTTGATGATTATGGTGTCAAAAACCAAATTCCATGCCTTTGAGCTAATCCTAACTCTTAGTGAGCCCCTAGTAGGACCAGGGTAGAAATGCCCATGGGGTTTCCAAGACTGTAACTATTTACAGGAGTACAATGCCTCGTTTTTCTTCTTCAGAGGGCTAGTGGTTTTGAACTGCTGACCTTGTAGTTATCAGCCCAATGCATAACCATAACCCTATGCCACCAGGGCTCCTTGATTATTATTTAGTAGCTTTTATTATTGTATTGTGTTCAATAAATAAATTAATAAAGTAATATTACTGTGGAGTCTAAAAATTATTGTAGGACTTATTAAATATAAGTGAGAATATAAACGGTGGTGTCCTTGCAGCTAAGAAAACACATATATGCATAAATGTCCCATGTGAATACCATGTACAACCCAGCTTACAACATAGTGGAGGTTCAAATGTGTCTGTGATACAGGCACACCAGTCAGAAACTTAATAAGAAAGTAAAAAAGACAGATAGTCAAAGAAAGCCCAGTAAAGACAAACTGATCCCTGGTGGTCCATAAAGACTGTGCTCTCTTACAGCTAACAAAGAAGGAAGTTATGAATCATTCGTGTCTAAGGAAACAATGAAAAAAATCAGATGAACAGTGAAAGTAATCTCACACATATTCAACAGAAGTAGATAAAAAACCTTTCTTGGTCAGGGTTGAATCCAACCCTCTGGCTAATCTACTGCTGACCACTAAAGAGTGGTGATGCAGTAAAGAGCCATACAAAGAAAAATTTACATTCAAACGAGAGAGAGAAAGAGCAGAGACTCCAGCAGTTTCACATTAGTCCAATCAAGTCAAAGAAAGGAGCAACCAAATTAAGTAAAATAACAAGGACTACACTAAGAGCTCTAGGGTGAGAGATAACCAGCCCCCAGAGTTGCTAGAGTGTTTTACCTATAATATCTGGTAGGGAATACGGAATGGATTAAAATTAAGATGTGTGTGTCAGGGCTTTATCCTTTGACAATACTTAGTCAATCTATATGCTGAGGAAATAATCTGAGAAGCTAGACTATATGAAGAAGAATGCAGCATCAGGATTGGAGGAAGGCTTATTAATAACTTGTGATAGGTAGATAACACAACCTGCTTGCTGAAAGTGAAGAGGATTTGAAGCACTTGTTGATGAAGATTAAGGATTGCAGACTTCAGTATGGATTACAACTCAATGTCAAGAAGACCAAAATCCTCACAACTAGACCAATAGGTAATACAATAAAAAAGGAGAAAAGATTGAAGTTGTCATAGATTTCATTTTGCTTGTAACCAAAATTAATGCTGATGAAAACAGTCAAGATATCAAATGGCATATTGCATTGGGCATACCTGCTGTGCAAGACCTCTTTAAAATGTTGAAAAGCAACTATATCACTTTGAGGACTAAGGTGGTATGCCTGACCTATGCATCTGTATAACTGTTCTGGTGAAGATTCTTGATACTATCATAGACTTCCAAAAGACAAACAGATCTGTCTTAGCAGAAATACAGCCAGAATGCTCCTTAGTAGCAAGGATGGTGACCCTTCATCTCACATGCTTTGGACATGTTGTCGGGACATCATGCCAAGTAAAGGAGAGGGGCATCAAAAGAGAGGAAGGCCCTTGATGAAATGGATTGACATAGTGGCTTCAAAAATGGAATCAAATCAATTGTGAGCATATTGCAGGACAGAAAAGTGCTTTGTTCTGTAGCGCATCAGGTCACTAGAAGTCAGAAGCAGCTGGATGGCTCTGTACAATAACAACAAAGAAACTAATTTCCAAAAAGTAAATTTGAGAGACACAAGAATATAGGAAAGTGTGGCCTACACGAAGGCAAAACAATTGTCTGTGAATGAGCCCAGATTAGTATTTAATATAAGCATACGCAAAGAAATGAAGAAAAATGTTTGCAGAATTAAGAGTAAATAATTAAGAAGTTATATCATGATGATAGGAACTCTGGTTACACACTGGACTGCTAACTGCAAACTCAGCAGTTCAAAACTACCAGCTGCTCCTTGGGTGAAAGATGGAGCTTTCTAGTCCTATAAAGAGTGACAGTGCCAGAAATCCATTGGAGTAGTCCTACCCTGTCCTGTGAGTCAGCATTGACTCATGGCAGTGAGTTTTATTGGGTTTTTATGGTGACAGTCCTCTCATATACTCATTGTCATCATGCCAAAAATCCAACCCAGGACTATCCAGTCAATTGTGATTTATAGGGACACTACAGTGCAAGTAGAGCTGCCTCATAAGGTCCAAGGCTGTAAATATTTTCAGAAACAGACCGCCCTATATCCCATCCATGGAATTGATTGTGGGTTCAAGTTGCCCACCTTGGATGAGCAGCTAAGCAGTTAACTATTGCGCCACCAGGGCATCTACTGATTGTCATTAATTACATCCTTTGGGTCCCACAAACAATCTCATCCTCCTGTTATGAGTTCTTTCTCGCCCAATAACAAAAAGGCACTGTTCACTAAAGTTCCCGTCCAATCTTTTGAGTTGATGTTGTCAATTTCATCACATAGAGACACCACCTCTTATCTCTTTAACCTTGAGTTTGAATCCATTCATCAGCACATAACAGGATGATGAAAATGTTTTATCAAGTAGACAACACCAATAAAGAATATAAATTATTATTTTTTAATAATTCAATGGGTATCTCAAGGGAGAAAACTGCAATAACTGAACTTTTTTTTTAATGTACACGAGGTACAACAACATATTTGAGCTGGTGGAGAACACCATTCTCTAAAAACCTGAAGATAAATTGATAAAGATAATTCAATCTCTAGGATAAAATATAATAAAAATAAATCATCAGAGCCTCAGATAATGGTAGGATACCACCTGCTTAATGGAAGTGAAAAATAGGAGAAAGATAAAAGGACAGGGAACAAATTCAAATAAATAATTGTTATAAACTCACACATGAACACATACATATGAATGTTTACAGAATTAAGAGTAAAGATCTAAGAAGTGGTATAATGACAGGAATTCTGTTGGTACAGTGTTACACACTGGGTTGCTAACTGCAAGTTCAAATCTACCAGCTGCTCCTTGGATGAAAGTTGGGACTTTCTACTCCTGTAAAGATTTACACTCCCAGAAATCAACTGGAGCAATTCTACCATGTACACACATCAAGTCTATTCTGACTCCTAAAGACCCTATAAGACAGAGTAGGCCTGCCCCTGTGGATTTATGAGGTTGCAAATATTTAATAGAGCATAAATTCTCATCTTCATCCCCCATAGGCGCTGGTAGATTCAAACTGCTGATCTTGCAGTTGAGAGCTCAATTCTCACTTCACTTCCATCTACACATCTAAGAAGCTCTTGTGTCTTTGAACTAATGACCTTCTTTTTTCTTCTTAACCAGCCAGGAACTCTAACCACTATGCAACCAGGGCTTTTCCCAAGAAACCCAGTGAACTCCAATTAGAATAGATAGGAATAGATCTACACCCTGACATAACAAAGTAGAACCGTTGAAAGGCAATGACAAAGGGAAAACAAGATGACAACCATTCTTACACAAAGGAGAATACAAGTAAAAGCTAAATTCCTGGCAAAAACAATGAAGGCCAAAGGCAGTAGGAAGATAACATATTGACAGCATCAAGAACTTCACAGGCAACAAAACTATCCTTCAAATATGAAATTAACAGATGAGAAAGTAGATATATATTTTTTTGCTAAAAGATGCACCTAGCAGAAGTACTGAAGAACGTTGTGAAGCTGAAAGCAAATGACACCAGATAATAATTTGAACCTGCAAGAGAAAGAAAGAGTGTCAGTAAATGGAATTATGTAGTAATTCTAAAAGCCAATGTAATACAATATTTCATCTTTCTCTCTTAACTGATTTAAGAAGTAATAAAAAACATATCATTATGCTGGCGGGACTATAATATATAAAATGATATATATTAACATATACATGAGTGAGAAGAAACCTATAAGTCACTTAACAACAGCAGCACAATTTGATACGCAATTCATTCAGTTCATTCAATTTGATGCCTAATGAATTTTACCAGCCTTGGCTGAGAGGGACAGAAATGAAATACAAAGATAC